AGACATCCAGAATATCGAATTCAGTGTTAGCGTGCTTACAGCAGTACATTGGCCGACATACGATCTGACGGATGCGACGATACCGGCTAGTCTAGCCATTTATCAGGAGCATTTTCAGAAGGTTCTATTATTAAAGACTGTACACTATGATTTTTATTTTTTTTTTTTTTGCATCCATGCAATGCCCTTGTGTCTATATGTGTGTCTATGTGTGTGTATATTCGTCTGTACCGATTTTTTTGTTCTGCCCATGATACGGCTGATTTAAAGAAGGAACTTTCCTCCTCTTCATTTTCTGTTCAGGTTTTTACAATAGGTTTGGCTTGTTTAATCTATGTGGGTAGGGATAGGGTACTGCTTGTTTTCCAAGCACAGCCTAATTCACGTCGCTAATCAGCAAACTGTGGGTACTACTCTCAAAACCCGGCGCATTTTTGTAAAAAATGAATTTTTTTTTGCTGATTTCTGTTTTTTACAGTTTTATGCTTCAAAACACAGTGGGCGCAAACTGCAGTGGCAGTACGGTCTCTCGCAGCTTTTACTACGGGCACATTTTAATGTAAGTTTTGTTTTTGAATTGCTTTAACGAACCCAGCTAATATAAAATAGTTTTTTTTTTTAGCAATAACGGCTATAGGCGCATGCGATCTTTGTGTATCACTGATAGTTAGTGTTCTTCAGAAAATACTTTAGCAGATGAAATTTATGTAACTGGAATGGAGCAGGGTTCGGTTCGTCGGGAAAAATGTTGGAGAATGCTACTGAACGTGATTTGAGCGGATAGATTGACACCTGTAGTAAAAAAAAATGCATTCAGCCTGAAAAGAGATCTTATTTCTGTGATGAGGCGATATATGCAAACTAGAAACTCTGATAGTTTTGACAGTCATGATATTCAGATGTAACAATTTTGACTTGAGGTTGTAAAAGAATTGCAAGTTTCAATGTTCCAAGCTCTGGTGCTTCTGCTGTTTAACGAGAAAATTGAATGGAAATACAGTGAAATTCAAGCAGCTACTAAAATCGGTAACTTTTTTACCCGTATTTATAATTACACACATGGAGCTAGTTGTGTTAATTCACAGTCTGGTTCTCTCAGTTTGCATCCTACAACAGCTTTTTCAATTGTTTTTACCTGTACTGCAATTGTCTGTTGATAATCCTTTTAACGCACCTAATGTTCATTTCGTTTCCTGAAGGGATTACCAACACATTCGGGACTTGATAAGGGCCCTAGCAGTTTAGCAGTTGACGGCTTCGGTCTCTGTTCAGCGGAATTTGTCCTCTCTGGTCCCACTGGGAAACATCCATCAAACTGAATTTGAATTCATTGTTCCTTCTGTTGGAACATAGAATACTGAATTCAGTGTTCATTCCGTTGCCTCTCATTCTTGCCCATAGACGGATCTAAGAGGGGGAGGGGGTGGGGGGGGGGCGATAGGTCTTTCGCAGCCCCCAGCGGTACATTCACCAGTGTTAGAAACTGCGGGTCTAGAGCTAAAACCGAAAAAAACACAGTTCCACATCCCCGTTGCGCCCCCTCCGTTCCTCCTCTTGGAGGAACATTTTCACCCTCCCTCCCCCTTCCCCGTCCCGGCGCCCCCGCCTCTCCCCTCTTTTCCCCAGATCATGTCCGGGATTCGCCTATGTTCTTGCCACATATTCATTCCAGCTGTTTTTCCTGGCGTACACTGCTTCGAAGGCACTTGTACTTGATATATGAAGCAACCTGATAACGCTTCTTACAAAGGGAAACGATAAGGGGCTGAAAAGTAAGAAACCACGTCCCCCTCGTTATACTCCTTGTAATAGAAGGGCATTTAAAAACAAAATGGCCGGAGCGTTTTGTCAACAGTAGTCATATACTGATAAGGCGCTTAGTAGACTTTTTCTTTGAAAAAATCTAACGGAAAACAACTGCATCGATTTTTTGGTATAATTCGCAGCTTGTTTCAGTTTTTTTAAAAAAAAGACAAAATTACAGAAAAAACAGAATTGGAAAGAACGATGCAGTCACTGGCTTGTGGTAAATTACGTGTACTCAATAAAACACCGCGTAGCAAAGAAATCGATGATAACGATATATTCGCATTCAATCCGGAAGTTAATGAGAAATTGTACAGAATTCGTATAAGCCAAGTACTAATGAGAGAAACGGTTAGTCGACATTTTTCTTTTTTTTTTCGCACTGAGTTAAAAGGGCGTTAATTCTGTTACCGCGTGTGGACGTGTCGATGGACCAAAGGAACCAAATAGGGTGCTAGGCAAAAGTGGAGACAAAGATGATTTATGGTACGAAACAATGACATGGGACAGGATGAGCGATTAACGAATCACCAGAAGT